GGGAGATTTTACAAGAGGTGTCTAGCACCCCACTTCTATGGATCTTTCTGGGATTCGTAGTTTTCCTTCGTACTATGTGGTTTGATAATAGAAATATGATAAAGTCTATACGAGATAAGTCCAGGATTCTTAAGGCAGAGGTTGAACGTTTAAAAACTATTGAGAATGACAACAATCTTCTCAAGAATCAGTTTGAAGTTCTCCAGGAAGAGAACAGGTCTTTGTTTAACATGACTCCGTTAACTGAGCAAAATTTAGAAAAGGTACAAGCTGATGTTGAGGAGAAATTCATTACTATGGAAGAAGGAACAGCTGATTTGGATCGTAAGTTTCAGCAGTCCCTTTCTGTAGGAACTGAAATATTAACTGAGAGAATCAAAACTGCTGAATGAGACAATTGAATTTAGTCTAAAGCTTATGATAGATTGGCGGAAAGATTGTCAATACAAGAAGGCACAGTTTATGCCATAAAAATTATGTCCAAAGATGAGAAGTTATCTCTAATGGACAAACTTCATACTTTAGAATCCTCAATGAAGGCTTTGGAACATAATTCTGGACAGGAGATACAGACATTGCAGAAGGCAATGGTGAATAGAATTGAAAAGATTGAGGAATATCTAAATTCTGATGAAAAAGAGCAAACGGTAGAAAGGCAAATTTTAACTACATCTGTGGGTAAATCCCTCCGGGACAATTTCCACAAAGCTCTACCTACAGGTCTACCTGCCTTTCCAGTATTAACAACAGAGAAGGTGATTGGTTCCAGAAACCCTAGGGTCATCAAGGAAGATACATGGGAGCCTGTCCGTATGAGTGATCTCAAAGAAATTAACAGGCTGTCATGACTTTTGGGATGCAGGCCTCTTTTGTTAAAGAGATGCTAAAATCTTGGCCACAACAAGCAGAGCAACTCTCTTGGACTGGCTTCAGCTGAGCTCTGCAGTACTTGAGAGTGAACCACAATTGAAATGGAAATGCTTATTCAGGCAAGAGGCTAGTCTTTTAGAACAGCAGGAAAAAGTGAAGGGAATTGACATTTCCCTAGATAAAATTCTAGGTGAAGGGCTCTTTTCTGATCCTCAGGAACAAGCTAATTTGGATGAAAACACACTCTCCATGTGTACTACATCAGCCTTAAGGGCTTGGGAAAGGTTACAAGACCCAGGACAAATGGAATCATTTGTCACAGTTAAACAGGGTCAGAGAGAACCCTTTAGAGACTTTTTACAAAGACTAAGGCTGTACAAATAGGGATATCTGACCCAGAGGCAAGACATATAATGATTGAGTCTTTGGCTTATGAAAATGCAAATGTGGAATGCAAAAAGATTTTGGGGCCGTTAAAGCTCAGATCAGCACCCTTGGAAGAATGGGTCTTTATTACCAAAAGGATGGCCTCTCATAGTTATTGATTTAAAGGATTGGTTTTTCACTATACCTTTACAAAAAGAAGATAGAGAAAAATTTGCCTTCACAGTGCCTACTTATAATAATTCTCAACCTTCGAGGAGGTACCACTGGGCTGTCCTCCTCCCCCCGGGTATGTTAAATAGCCCCTCCTTGTGCCAATATTTTGTGACTCAACCATTGCAAATGATCCACAAGAAATTTCCCAAATAGATAATATATCATTACGTGGATGACATTTTGTTATCCCATTCAAACATGAATACATTGAACAGACTGTTTGAAGAAATAAAGATACTTTTACCTAAATGGGGATTACAAATTGCTACTGAAAAGATTCAGAAGGGAGAGTCTGTTAATTATTTAAGTAATAGAATTGGTATGCAAAAAATTAAGACACAAAAGGCACAAATTAGGAGAGATCGCCTACGGACTCTTAATGACTTTCAAAGACTGTTAGGAGACATTTCCAGTCTACGACCAGCTATTGGGATAACACCTGATCTAATAATTCATTTGAACAAAACCTTGGATGGTGATAAAGATTTAAATAATCCCAGAGAATTAACAGCTGAAGCAGAAAAGGAACTGACAATGATTAAGGAGAAATTACAACAGGCACATGTGGACAAGGTGAATCCAGAGCTCGATTGTATTCTCGTCATATTACTATCAAAAATTTCTCCTACAGGTTTTTTAATGCAGAGAGATGATATTATCTTGGAATGGATCTTTTTACCACATAAACCAAGTAAGAAACTGAAAACATTTGTGGAAAAAGTCTCTGAGTTAATTATAAAAGGCAAGCTGTTACTTTGTCAACTAGCAGGCATAGACCCAGCAGAAATTATAGTGCCTTTCACTGCTGATGAACTAAAGAAATTATGGGAAGATAATGAACCATGGCAAAGAGCTTGTGCTAATTTTTTGGGAGACATTAATAACAACTATCCAAAAAGCAAGAGGCTTAACTTCATAAAGAGAATTTCTTGGATCCTTCCTGTGGGCGCATATTTCGAGATTACACAAAAGCCATTACCCTGGTTTGAGCTGATTACATAGCTCTGCAGACAAACTGTCTGTGCCCTTAACAAAAGCCAGGATGTCTTGCTCCTAGCTTTTGTTAAAGTGTGGATTACCTGAGAAGAGGTGTTGACTGAAACTGGTCAGGATGTTTGGGGCTTCTTTCTTTATGCAATTTGGAGGTTGTCTTATAGAGATGCTATTTCAGGGCCTACCTGACTGCTAGATGCAGACTTGACCAGAGCCCAGGCACCTAGTTGCCTAGGCAACAGCTTTTGTGTGTTCCCGCTCATTTGGTGTGGGTATATAAGATGTTTGGACAATAAAGGAGGATTCTGGCCTTTTCCATGATGACCGTGTAAGCTGTGTCTGATTATTCCTCACCACTCCGTTCCAGTCTAGTTAGAGAACCTGTGTTGGACCCAAACGGGCTCCAACATAATGGCACCATAACGTGGGACTGACCACTGAACCCCAAGATTAAAGACTACTTCAGCTGACCACGGAACCCCGAGACGAAGGCTGGAGGAAGAAGTACCAAAAGGAACGCAGTGCTGACCGCCGAACTCCATGACCCCGGAGAAGGGACAACACGAGAGAGACAGTGAATGCTGATCGCTGGATCCCAGAGAGAAACCGGAGAATGGATGGAGGAGAACGTAAGGCTAATAGGCGCTCCCTAAAGAACAAGGAAGAGGTGACCAGACATGAGAAATCCACGAGAGAAGAAATCGGTGGATGCGTGAGTAGTGAGCTCTCAGAACTAGAGATGTAGAATAGAGAAAGAAATGTAGAAAAGCGGGACAAAATTGAAATCAGGAGTAAAAACTTGTAAATAAATTATATATGGGATAAGGAAAAAGTATTCAGTTAAATATGTTGGTAATTTAGAGTGGACCAGAACAATGACAGAGTTTTTGAGAATCTGTAAGCATGATAGACGCAGAATTGCAACTTTTATTGATTGCTAAATGAGTAGGAAAGGTGAAGGAAAAATTATTTTTGGCCAAGGAATCACCAAGTTACGGCTGGGATTGAGTAGCCACGTGCACACAGTAACCAGCTAATATAACCCACCTATGGGTAAAAGGCAAGCAGGAGCAAAAGTAAGTTTAAAGAACAAATTTAACCTCACACAGTCTATAGAACAGAGGAGAGGATTCAGAAATTTGCCTAATTTTGTGATTTACAAGTTAAAATAAGAAACATAGTTTAAAATTGTCTGCCAGAGCGCAGAAAGGCAGTCTTACAAAGAGAGCCTGTGTCCTACCCCCTGCCGTGCAGCGCAGTTCAAGAGAAAGTAAAAGGACAGGTTTACTTTAAGGTAGCCTCTGAGATAAGCAGGTTAAAATGCTTGTTTTTCATTTCACAATTTTGCCTTTTTGTCAAAAGTCTGCTGTTTGTAAGCATGGTGAATTTGTATCCAAGGTGGATTGATTTTAGTACTATGGCTGTAGTAAAGTTTAAAGTCAGAGATTGTGACGCATTCAGAAGTTCCTTGATTATACAGGATTTTAAGATTGTTCAGGCTAGCCTGAGATTTTGTCTTTTCTCATAAGGTTGAGAATTGGTTTTTTCAAAGTCTAAAGAATTTTGTTACAAGTTTAATGGGCATTTGCATTAGATCTATAGATTGCTTTCAGTAACATTGTCAATTTTGCTATGTTGGTGCTGTTTTTACAAGAGAATAGGAGATCTTTCCATTTTCTGATGGCTTAAGTTTCTTCAAGGATTTAAAGTTCTTGTTGTACAGGTTTTCAATTTGTATGGTCAGAGTTACTCAAAAATATTAATGGTATTTGTGTCTATCTCATTTTTGATGTGTGTAGAAGAGATACATTTGAGTTTTCAGATTCTGTGTATGATAAAGTAATTCTGCTGTGAAGTAGTTGAGCACGTGTCCTTGTTGTATGGTTGAACATCTTTTGTATATAGGCCCAGAGGAAGTATAGCTGAGTTTTAAAGTGGTTTGTTGCCTAATTTTCTAAAAATTCAACAGCAATGGAGGAGTTTCTCTTAAACATAAGTTGTGAATAGTGTTTTTGATCTTGGCCATGATGCAGAGATAAGATGGAGTCTCAGAGTTCTGATTTACAGTTTTCTAATGGTTAAGGATGTTATATTTGAGCAATTTTTGAATGTTTTCAGTCATCTTAAGTTCATCTGTTGAGAGTTTTCAGTTTAGATCTGTTGCATATATTATTAATGGATTAATTGTGCTTTTGGTGACTAATTTCCAGAGTTCTGTGTATGTTTTTGAAGTGGATTAGTGATTGGTGAGGATATATGCCAGTTATGCAGGCTATTATATCTTGTTGATTATGTCCGTTGCTATACAGAAGCTTCTCAGTTCAAGGGATCTGGTTAATTGTTTCTCTCAATGTGTATGCCACTGAGATTGTGTTAGAGTTGTGCCAGTGCGTTTAAGTGTTAATTCTAAAATTTTTTCTTATATGAGGTTAGGTATTATTGGTTTTATGTTGAGATCTTAAAAGAAAAAGAGAGGAGAAGATGGATTTGGTTCATCTGATGCATTTTGGGTACAGACCATAGGTCCTCAGAGACCAGAACTCACTTTGTTTATAAATGAAAAAAGATTTTTTTGGCCTCCTGGATACTGGCACGGATACTTCCATCATAACCACCAGTCAGTGGCCTTCTAAGTGGTCAAGAACAGAGACTATTACACAGTTACAAGGAATCGGTCAGACTAGAAATCCTGAACAAAGTAGCAATGAACTGCATTGGAAAGATGAGGAAGGACATGAAGGAACCTTTAAGCCGTATATTATTCCCCATTTACCTGTGAATTTATGGGGCAGAGATATCATGTCCAGAATGGGAGTATATTTATATTCTCCCAGCATGGCTGTTACTAATCAGATGTTTCAACAAGGATTATTACCTAATCAAGGTCTAGGAAAAGATAATAAGGGAAAGATTGATCCTGTCGTATCAGACAGTAGACCTTCTAGAGCAGGATTAGGGTATTTTTAGGAGAGGTTACTGAAAGACCTGCACTCCATGTAGACCTGATAATATGGAAAAATGATGACCCTGTATGGGTGAGTCAGTGGCCTCTAACACAAGAAAAATTGCAAGCTGCCCAGCAGTTAGTGCAGGAACAGCTGGTTAGTGGACATATTTCACCATCTAATTCTCCATGAAACTCTCCAATTTTTGTTATTAAAAAGAAATCAGGAAAGTGGAGATTAATTCAGGATTTAAGAGAGGTTAATGCAACCATGCAGCCAATGGGAGCATTACAGCCAGGATTGCCGTCCCCGGCAGCCATTCCAAAAGGCACGCATAAGATTATCTTAGACTTGAAAGATTGTTTTTATACAGTTCCTTTATCGCCACAAGACTGTCAAAGATTTGCTTTTAGCATTCCTTCAGTTAATTTCAAAGAGCCAATGAGGAGGTATCAATGGAATGTCTTACCCCAGGGTATGTTAAATAGTGCGACATTATGCCAAAAATTCGTAGCTCAAGCTATACAGGAAGTTAGAAATCAATTTCCACAGGTGTACGCAATTCATTACTCAGATGACATCTTGTTGGCTCATAGAAATGAAGATACTTTACTAGAGATATATGGATTGTTACAGCAGTGTCTAAGCCATGCAGGTTTGGTTATCGCTCCTGAGAAAGTACAGAGGCATCCACCTTTTCAATATCTAGGTCATATGTTATACCCCAAATAAATTAAGCCTCAAAAGATAGAAATCAGGAAAGATGACTTAGAGACTCTTAATGACTTTCAAAGGCTATTAGGAGATATACAATGGCTAAGACCTTATTTGAGGTTTCCTACAGGAGACCTTGAGCCTTTAAGTGAGATACTTAAAGGAGACAGTGATCCAAATTCTAGCAGGCAGCTTTCAGAAGCTGCCAGACAGACTCTCTCACAGATAGAGCAGGCTATACAGAAACAGCAGGTGTGCTATATTGATTATAGCCAGACATGGCAAGCATGTATTTTACCTACAAGGCTGACTCCTACAGCAGTCTTATGGCAGAATGGACCACTCTTATGGCTGCATCTGCCTGTATCACCAGCAAAAGTATTAAATCCTTATTTTGAAGCAGTAGCATGCTTAGCACAGAAGAGCAGAATGGAATCTAGAAAATATTTTGGAAAAGAACCAGCTGTAATCAATGTTCCTTATACTAAGCAGCAAATTGAATGGTTATTTCAAAATAGTGACTCATGGGCAATTGCATTTGCACACTTTCTAGGTCAGATTAATAATCTTTTCTCAGCTGACCAGTTACTGCAGTTTGCGCAACAGCATTCATTAATTTTTCCTAAAATAGTAGCAAAGAATCCCTTAAAGGATGCTTTGTTGATTTTTCACTGATGGCTCATCTAATGGAAAAGCTGCTTATGTTTTCAATGGCAAAGGACACGTGGTACAGACAGAACCCGCTTCAGCTCAAATAGTTGAACTGCGGGCTGTAGCTCTGGTATTTAAGAATTTTGATAATAAGGCTTTCAATTTATATACTGATAGCCGGTATATTTATGAAGCATTAAGAATTTTCGAAACAGTGTCGTATATAGCAACTGGAAATGAACAAGTTAAAATATTGTTTCAGCAGATTCAGAAAGCCATACAGTGTAGAAAGTTACCATGTTTTATGGGACATATCAGAGCGCATTCAAGTCTTCCTGGTGTGTTAGCTGAAGGTAATGCTCTAGCTGACGAACTTACAAAGATAATTGCTATATCTCAGGTTGAACTTGCACAGCAGTCACAAAAGTGAAAGAAAGTGTTTAGTTCAATAAATAGTTCCATTTCACAATGTATGATTAATGGGAATCAGGATAGGGAATGAAGCAGGGCAGGTACTGAGAGACAGGAAAAGAAGCAGAGGCCATGGAGGAGTTTTGTATCCTTGTCTACTCCCCATGGTTTGCTCACATATTTTCTCATACCACTCATCACTACCTTCCTAGAATTAGCACTATCTTGTTGAGCTAGTCCTTCCCATATTTAACATCAATCAAAACAGTATCATACAGACTTGCTTAGAGGTGAATATGATAGAAGCCTTCTCTCAATTGAACTTCTGTCAATCCAAATGTCACTATCTTGCATTAGGTTGACACAAACAAAACAAAACATAACAAAAACAAAATATCCAGAACAAGTGATTCTATCAGATTTTAAACACAGATTGCCATGAGTACCAAATTCTATTCCTGAGTTATAACAATTCCCTTTTCTTTTAACTTTGTACATAATAGCTAGTATTCTCTATCTGTGAGAAATAGGCTTACCTATTTTAACTGGACATGTATGGGCTGTTGTCTCTTTGTGTGTAGACACACATATATGTTTGTTTTTACAGTTGCTGAAAGAGGACAGAACAGGATACTGGATTCTCTGGAGATGGATTAAACAAAATAGTGAGCAGCTCTCCACAGGTGCTAGTAATAAAACTCAATAAAAAACAAGCATAGCAAGTTCTCTTATCTTCTGAGCTATCTATCAGTCACCCTGAGACAGTTTCTGTTAAAGCAATATACTAAAGTCATTTCTCTGTATGAGTTGGTGAGATTTCTCAAGAAATAAATGTGTTTGCCACCAAGCCAACAACTTGAGATTTTCTTATACTATCATGGCAGGAGAGGACTGACTCCCATGAATTGTCCACTGCATTCACAGGTATGCCATTGGATGAACTAAGTACATATATATGAATAATAAATAAATGTAAAACGATAATCAATTAATGAATTATTAGTACATGAAAACTAATATATATTTAATTCATAGGAAATTGAGTTAGAATATACCATTGAAATATCATTTTTCTCAAACATCAGGGGCCCATCAATCACTTCCAAAGTTTCCTTAAGCCATATATCCCAGGAAAATTATTATCTATTGCCTATACATTTTCATAATAAAAACCTAAGATACACCTTTCTAGTATTTTATTTTCTCTACTTCCCTGGAGATAAATTCAATGGAACAGAAGAAAGATAGCTACTAAGTTCTACATTTAAAATTCTTAAACAGAGATATATTTTTCTGACAAAAATGTATTAAAGATGAGTTAATTAATAGTTATTAACCGAGAGAGAGGGATCGCATACATGCATCTTCAATTTAATTCCTTCCAGTGTTTGTGTTATACAGAATTTATTGTATTCTCAGTGTTGATCAACTTCCCAGTTTTTAGCATTTTGTTTTTATTTCATGGATCACATTTTATTTAGCTACTGACATCCCTGACATAGAAATTATTGTACATGAATTTTCGCAGTCACAAAAACTCTGCATAACT